TGGTCCTGCAGGATCAGCTCAGCTCTGGGATAGACTGGAGACTGAGGTCAGCCATGTGGGCAGCCGACCACATCCTGGAGATCAAGCCCTGGTAAAAACAGCACACCATGGCTTGAGTAAATTTTCCTGGTTGGCAATACTCCATGCATATTGTCGTGCATTGTTTCTGTCCATGACTTTGCTGGGAGAGGACAGCTGGAGGCTTTGTGTATGTATGGAACTCTCCTGGACCCCACCCTATGTGTCTCTTCCCTTGACTGATTTTAATCTGTATGCATTCACTGTAATAAATCATAACAGTGAGTACAATAGGTTTCAGCAAGTTCTGAGAGTCCTTCTTGTGAATTCTTGAACTTAAGGTGGTTGTGGGGATCCCTGGACTTGCCATGGGTGTCAGAAGGGAGGGTAGTCTTGGGAACTGTTCTGTAACTTTATAGGCACTTATTAGGAATCTGAACCTGTGATCTCCAGTCCTGGATTCTCCACTTACTGGCTGGATAAGTCACTTCATCTGCTTGAACCTCCTTTTCCTCATTCAGTGGGAAGGTATTGTCTGTGTGCCCTCTGGAGGAGACTGTTGTGTGGATTGAGATGGAAGCAAAATGGCTGTGCAAGTTGTCCAGGTCCATGCAAATGCACCACTGCCACAAATGTACTGAGTGCCCTTTCTCATCAAGGCAAATTTGATAATGATGACAATGACTGTGAGGACCCCATTCCTACAATCTGACTAACCGTATCTGTCTAGACAGGGAGGAAAGAGGGGTTGGGGTTGAATAAGTACCTGGAGCCTGAGTGGAAGCCATTTCTCTGAAATGAGGTCTTAGGAGCCACTTACCTGGTAGAAGACTGCAAGCTCTATGTGCTTCACAAGACACGGATCGAAGCCACAATGCACCTGTCATCAGGACAAAAACTCAAAAGCTTGACAAACTACTCTGTGGCAAGGCTGTGAGGAAGTGGGCACTCACACATGACTGGTGGGAATACAAAGTGGTACATCCCCTGATGCAGGGAATTGAGCAATATCTAACAAAAGTACATAGTATTTACCTTTGACCTAGAAATCGAACTTCTGGGTACTATCCTGAATCACACCCCCCCAATATATATCTTCTTTATATCTTTCATCTAGATTCACCAATTGTTAACATTTTTGTCACACTTGCTCATGAACACTCTCTCCATATATGTACATGTTTGTGTCTAGATGTACATGTATATATATGTATATGTCTGTACCTACGTGTTTAATATAGAGACATTTTTGCTGAATCATTAAGACTAATGTGTACCCTTTACACCTAAATAATTCAGAGTATGTCTCTTTTTAAAAAAATTTTATTTATTTATTAGAGAGAGAGAGAGAACAAGCAGGGGAGCTGCAGGCAGAGGGAGAGGGAGAAGCAGGCTCCTGCTGAGCAAGGAGCCCAATGCGGGGCTCAATCCCAGGACCCTGGGATCATGACCTGAGCCGTAGGCAGCTGCCCAACCGACTGAGCCACCCAGGCACCCCAAGAGTATATCTCCCAAGAACAAAGACATTCTCTTGTATAGTCTTAGAAAAATCGTCAAATTCAAAAAATTAATATAATATTATTGTTTAATATATTTTTCATGTTCACATGTTGCCAATTGTCCAAATAATATCCTTTATAAACCTTTGTTTTCAAGCTTGGCTCCAGTCATGAATTAAGCAAGACATTTAAGTGTCAAATCTCTTTAATCTCCCATAATCTGGAAGCACTCCTCCACCTCACTTTGTCATGCCATGTACATTTCTGAAGAGGAAAATGCCTAGTTTTGTAGAGGGCCCCTCAATTGGGGCTTATCTGATTGCTTCCTTGAGATTATTCTGGTTCCACATTTTGGTCTAGAGTAATGTGATTTCAGTTTGTCCTGTTATTAGTGTTTGAATGTTGGACACTTGCTGTGGTGGTCAACATGAAGATGTCTGGGATAGGTCTCCACTATCAAGATACTCTTTCCTCTGGTTAATTAATGAATCACCTGTGGGGAGGTACGTAGAGCCTTCGTTAATATCCTACTCCAAACTCTCTCACCCAAAAGAATCAGTTAATGAACTCAGATTTTGTAAAGAAGATGGAGTCTCCCCTGACTTCGGCAAGATCCCAGAAATATACCCATCAGTGCGGATTCTAGTTTCAGGGCAAACAGGACAGCCTCAAGCTCAGGAGTCTTCACCCGGTCTCCCCAAGGGGTCCTTGGATAGAATTCAAGGGGTTCTTAAACTTGGCTGGGAAAGCAATTAGGTTGATATTTTCACCACCCTCTTAGTAAAATTCATTATTCTTTTCGATTATGAATGAGACAACAAAGCATCGCAGTAGCAATGGCTATGTCACCCATGGAAATTCCAGATGTTTTTATATCACATTACAACGGACACAGAATATTATTTACATTCATCATTCCTTTGAAATCCTCACAGTTATTAGACTCACCACTAGATCTTGTTATCCAATATATTAATAAGGAAAGCACCTATATTACATACCAGATTTTAAATACATTTTGGTGTTAGGATTTCAACAGTATTTCCTTTGTAAACCTGTGTATTTTATTTTCTGCACTTGTATTAATGCGTTTGGGCTGTTGCAACAAAATACTAGAGGCTGGATAGTTTATAAACAACAGATACTTATTTATTACAGTTCTGGAGGCTGCAAGTCTGAGATCAGGGGGCCGGCAAGGTCAGGTGCTGATGAAGGCCATCTTCTGTGGGCTGCATCCTCACATGGTGGAAGGGGCAGGGAGCTCTGCCTGGTCTCTTTTATAAGAGCACTAATCCCATTTGTGGGGGCTCCACTTTCCTGACCTAAGCAACGCCCAGAGGCCTTGCTTCCTAATTACCATCACATTGGGCGTTAGGAATTCAACATATGAATTTGTGGGGGACACAACCAACCAGACCATAGCAGCACTTAGGAACATTATCCTGAGCAGGAGTCCATGGCACAGAAAAGGTTAACAACCCTTGCCTCTGTCCTCTCCGGTCTCCAGCTGGTCCTCATTACTTGTTCAGGATCACCTTTTGAAAACACCAGCCTTTCAGGTTTTCCTCCTTTCCTCCGTGACTCTCGAAATTTGCTGGTTTGGGCACCAGCATAAAGAAACTGCTTGGAAGTTTGCCACAATCTGTCTCAGGGTTCTCATCTGCCACTCGCATTAATCTGGCCTCACCCAAACACCACTTTGTTCTGTTGCTCAGGATGTGGCCTGTGGGGCAGGGGCGGGGGCGCGGGGGGAGGGGGTGAGGGGGGTCTTCTCTACTGCTTAAAAAAAAAAAACCTGCTGCTCTTCCAAGACCCCAGACTAAATCATTCCTTCCCTTTGTGTTTGTTTGGTGCTTTGTTTGCCTCAATAGCCCTCATCAGCACCTGTAAGTGTGTGAACTTTACCTGTCTCTACTGTCTTTCCTGTCGATCTCTTCTACTGGATGGGAAGCCCCTTAGGGACGTCCTTCTTCCTAGCAGCTCCTAACCACGTTCTGGAGCACTGCACATGGTTTTAAGTTAGATTTGTGTGGTTGAATAGATGCAAATCCCCACTTTGGAGTAAGAACAGGCAGTCCCAGGTGAGAAGCCCCAGGGTTGGAACCTAAGGCTTCTGGTCCCTGGCCTGTAGTCCCCAGTCCACTATAGAGCACCAAGGGCCTGGCCAGTTTCACCATTTTCTGACCCAGAATTTCTCTCAAACAACCATGACTTCTGTAGTCTTACTGGATTGAGGAAACAATCTTTCTGAGGCTTAACGCAAAGATAAATATGTCAGCAAGAATTTCTATTCGGATGTGACATTTGCACATGAAATGATACCCCAAACCCCTAAATTTCTTCTTCCCAAGAGCCCCAAGTGGCTCTCTCTAATTTCCATATACGAAAAAATGCCAACTATTCAGAAAAGTACAGAGAATGATTTAATGAGCTCATCACCTACATTCAACAATTATCATTTTGCCTTTTTTTTTTTGGTGCTTTCTTTTATTTAATTTCCTGAAACATTTTATTTTTTTTTTTTAAGATTTTATTTATTTATTTGAGAGAGAGAGAATGAGAGACAGAGAGCATGAGCAGGAAGAGGGTCAGAGGGAGAAGCAGACCCCCTGCTGAGCAGGGAGCCCGATGTGGGACTCGATCTCGGGACTCCAGGATCATGACCTGAGCCAAAGGCAGTCGCTCAACCAACTGAGCCACCCAGGCGCCCTTTCCTGAAGCATTTTAAAGTCAATTACAAACCTTAAATAAAGGACAGTATGTTCCAGAACCGTAATTCCTTAGTCACACATAAGAAAGTTAAAGTTTGCACAATGGTGACTTTATATTATGATTTTTCTACATTTATTAGCTGGCATTCTCTGTAAAGCAGAGGCTTTTCTCCTCACTCAGGCCTATTTGGTCACCCTGAAATACAATTTCTGTAGGAAAGGCAAGATAAATGTCCACATATCTCCCTTTAATGATCCATATTCGAAGTAAGGACTTGGAGCAATAGATACCATCGTGGTGACAAAAGCATTATTTTAGGGGAAGCAACTTTCTCTTTTCGTTGACTATCATAATGAGCTCATAGTTTGGGGGTTTTTTTTGCCAGGGGTGTGGGATTTTTTAGGTCTCATTCTAGAGTGTAAAAACAAGTTTGTTTTGTTTTTTACCTTGTTAACTCCTAATTACAGTTTTCCATCTTATCCATATTGTGATATGAGACAATTTCATTGCTCTCAACTGGTCGGCAGTACACTTTATGCTTCCCATTTGCTACACTTTAACTATAAATCCCCTTGGGTCGGGCACCTGTGTTGCTAGCCATACTTCATTTGATAGATAATTTTATGTGTCAGCTTGACCGGACCATGGGGTACCCACCAGTCACATTTAGTCAAACATTATTCTGACTGTGTCTGTAAGGGGGGGGGGGGTTAAAGAGAATAACACTTGCATGGGTAGACTGAGTAAAGCAGGTTGTCCTCCCTGATACAGGTGGGCCTCATGCCATCCACTGAAGACCTGAATAGAACAAGAAGACTGAACAAGAAGGAACTTCTGCCTGGCTCTTTGAGTCAGAACATCCGTCTTCTCCTGCCCTCTGACTACAACTTACACCCGCTCTCCTGGTTCTCCAGCTTGCCGACTGCAGATCTGGGGACTTCTCAGCCTCCATAATCACGTGAGCCAATTCCTTCCCTGACTAATACACTTTGCTACCAAGATGTACCTTCTCATACATATTTCTTTGTGTCCCCATGCAAACGTGCTATGTGATGGGCGGGCACACTCTTAATTTGTCTGTGTTCAGGGCACTTCCCTCCAGACTGGATGAACCTGGTTATACAGCTGCAGCTGCGTGTGAGAGTTTGTGATGCTTCACATTTTCGTTGATACTTTATTTGCATTTTTTTAAGTTTATAGCATCTCCTTTCTGCTCAATAGCCTGACTGGCTTCATTCAGCGGGAAGTCCACACGGATCAGAGGGCCCGCAGGAACTCATGTCCCACCTCCTCCATTCCCACCAGCCAGCTCTTTGCTCCATCTCTTACTCGTGAACCACCCTCTCTTGCTTCTAGCCATGTGGGCCTCATGCTGCTCCTCAGCCACACCATTTTTGTCCCACCTCAAGCCCTTCCCGTGGCTGTGTGCTCTGCCTGGACAGCCCCTCCACAGACACGCTCAACTCTACGACTTCGCCTTGAAGATGTCTGTGATGTTGTGATTTATAATAAATACATATTTCAGGGGCACCTGGGTGGTTCGGTTGAGCGTCTGCCTTCCGCTCAGGTCATGATCTGATATAGAGCCCCACGTTGGGCCCCCTGCTCAGTGGGGAGTCTGCTTCTCCTCCTTCCTCTGCCCCTCCCCCCTCAGATAAATAAATAAAATCTTAAAAAAAAAAAGAAATACATATTTGGTCTTTGTCCCCACCCCTGACTCAGAGCTTCTAAAAGCCTTGGAATCTCGTAAGTGACAATAGCAATAAGGTGTCTTGATATTCATAACAAGCCCCTCTCAGCCACACGTGAGTTTATGTCAATGTGGTGATTTTTGGAAAGCCCCTAAGGTTGATGGCTGGTTGACAGGGAAACAGACATGTGATCAGAGGCTGAAACTTTCAGTCCCATCCCCTGACCTTTGGGGAAGGGAGAGAGGCTAGAGGCTGAATCAATTGCCAATGGCCAGTGATTTCATCAATCATGCCTATGTAACGAAACCTCCGTAAAAACCCAAAAGGATGGGGTTCAGAGAGCTTCCAGGTTGGTGAGTACATGGAGGTTGCTAGGACAGCAGTGCACTCGGAGAGGTCATGGAAGCTCCGCACCCCTGCCCACATACCTTGCCCTCCGCATCTCTTCCATCCAACGGTTCCTGAGTTATACTCTTATGTAATAAACCAATAATTTAGTAATGTAAAATGTTCCTCTCAGTTCTGTGAGCCTCGCTAGCAAGTTAATTCAACCCAAGGCGGGAGTTGTGGGATCCTCCAATTAATAGACAGTCACCAGAAGCACAGGGAACAGCTTGGACTTTCATTTGGCATCTGAAGGGTGGCAGGGGAGCAAGGGGGAGCCTAGTGGGCTGAGCCCTTAACTATCTGCAGGTAGATAGTGTCAGAATGGAGACAATTGCCCATGGTGGTGGAGAAAACACATATTGGGATTTCATTCCCTTATCTTCGCCTCTGCTGGAAATGAGCATAAGTTCATATGACTTCCATTCACACACGTTTTCCTTCTGCTTGCGGTTTTTTGTATAATCTTCTTGTTCATATAATCCCCTTGTTTCCATCAGTTATGGTCATTAGTCTTTTTCTTTAACACTTACCATATATTTATTAGATTAAGAGAACATCTTTCCTGGTGATAATCATTTCTAAGTATTCTTTTCCTTTTAATTGCAGTAAAATATACATAAACTTACCATTTCTAAGTGTACACTTCAGTGGCATTAAAGTACATTCACATTTGTTCTGTAATCATCACTACCATCCATCTCCAGACACAGTTTCCTGGCTGTAATCATTTCTTTTTATTCATTCATTCATTCATCCATCCATCCATCCATTTATTTATTTGTTTACTGATTGATTTTTTAGTCATCTCTACACCCAACGTGGGGCTCACACTCACAACCCTGAGATCAAGAGTCACATGCTCTACTGACTGAGCCAGCCAGGCGCCACTCTTTTTTTTTTTTTAAATTGTAGTAAAATACACCACAGTGAAACACCACTGTGGCATTCCGTACATTCACATTGTTAGGTAACCATGGCCACCATCCATCTCTAGAACTTTCTCATCATTCCAAACTGCAACTCTGTACCCATTACACAAGAACTCCCTATTCCCCTCCCCAAGCCCCTGGTACCCACCATTCCACTGTCTCTGTGTATATGGCTACTCTGGTATCTCCTGTAAGTGGAATCACATAGTATTTGTCTTTTTGTGACTGGCTTATTTCATTTAGCGTAAGGTTCATCCATGTTGTGGTATGTGTCAGAATTTCCTTCCTTTTAAAGGTTGAATAATATTCTGTTGCATGTATATAGCACATTTTATTTATCCATTCACCCATCAGTGGACATTTAGGTTGTACATTATTGGTTTTGATGCTCAGATTGATTTGATTCTCACCTTGGAGCGGTGGGAACTCCTTCAAGTTGGTTCTGAGTTTTCATGACAGGACACCACTGTTCTTTGATCTTGCTTTCTGTGGTAGAAATGTCACTCCTCTCCTACATTCCCTGCCAAAGACCTGAGGTTTGGTCTTTCTCAAAGAATCCCAGGTTCCTCTTAGTTGGTAATGGCATTTAGACACCAAAATATGGGCCTGTGTACTACATGTGTCTTAACTTTCCTACTACACTCCATTCCATGAAGAGAACAGCTACATCTTACTCACTTTGGTTTTATCACAGTACTTTACCCCCAGCAGGTATGGAATCAACTTTTTTTGTTCCTTTAGATTAAAAAAATGTCTTCACTCTTGGGGCTCCTGGGTGGCTCAGTTGGTTAAGCATCGGACTTTTGGTTTCAGCTCAGGTCATGATCTCAGGGTCATGAGATCAAGTCCTGTGTCAGGCTCTGTGCTAGGCATGGAGCCTACTTAAGATTCTCTCTCTCCCTCTCCCTCTCCTCCTCCCCTGCCCCCCCGGCATGCAAGCTGTCTCTCTGAAAAAAAAAAAAAAAAGTTTTATTGAGGTATATAATTGACATAGAACATTATATTTGTTTCAGACATACAACATAATGATTCCATATTTGTGTACATTGTGAAATGATCACTACATTTCTAGTTAACATCTGTCACCAAACGTAGTTATAAATTTTTTTTCTTGTGATGAGGACTTTAAAGAATCTACTCTCTTAACAGCTTTGAAATATGAAACATAGTATTTTTTTAAAGATTTTATTTATTTATTCATGACAGACAGAGAGAGAGAGGCAGAGGCAGAGGGAGAAGCAGGCTCCCCGCTGAGCAGGGAGCCTGATGTGGGACTCGATCCCAGGACCCTGGGATCATGACCTGAGCCAAAGGCAGATGCTTAACAAACTGAGCCAGCCAGGCACCCTATGAAACACAATATTATTAATTATGGTCACCATGCTGTACCTTACATCCCCAAGACTTCTTTATTTTATAGCTGCAAGACTGTACTTTTTGTTCCACTCCACCCATTCCTCCCCTGGCCTGCAACCACCAATCTGTATCTGTATCTATCTGTATCTATGGGCTTGTTTTTTTATTTGTTTTGTTTTTTAGATTCCATGTATAAGTGAGATCATATGGTATTTGCCTTTCTCTCTGACTTATTTCACTTAGCTTAATGCTCTCAAGGTCCACCCATGTGTTACAAATAGCAGGATTTCATTGTATACAACATCTTCTTTATCTGGTTATCCATCATGGACACTTAGATTGTTTCCATGTCTTGGCCATTGTAAATAATGCTGCAGGGAACATGGGGGTGCAGATGTCTTTTCAAATTAGTGTTTTCATTTTTTTAGAATAAATACCCAGAAGTGGAATTGCTGCTATTTTTAATTTTTTTAAGTAAGCTGTACGTCCAGCGTAGGGCTCAAATTCACAACACTGAGATCAAGAGTCACTTGGTCTTCCTACTGAGCCAGCTAGGCACCCCTAAATATACCTGTTTTATCACCAACATGGGGCTTGAATTCATAACCCCAAGGTCAAGAGTTGCATACTCTCCCAACTGAGCCAGACTGGCGCCCCTCAATTTTTCTTTGAGGAACTGCCGTTCTATTTTCTACAGTGGCTGCACCAATTTACATTCTTACCAACAGTATACAAGTGTACCCTTTTCTCTGCATCCTCACCAACATTTGTTATTTCATGTCTCTTTGATACTAGCCATTCTGGCAGGTGTGAGGTCATAGCTCATTGTGGTTTTGATTTGCATTTCCCCAGTGGTCAGTGATGTTGAGCATCTTTTCATGTGTCTGTTGGCCATCTGTATATCTTCTTGGGGAAGATGTCTATTCAGATCCTCCACCCATTTTTAAATCAGATTGTTTGATTTATTGCTATTGTTGTGTGAGTTCTTTATATATTTTGGATGTGAACCTCTATCAGATAAATGATTTGCAAATATTTTCTTCCATTCAGTAGGTTGCCTTTTCACTTTGTTGATTATTTCCTTTGCTGTGCAGGAGCTTTTTAGTTTGATGTAGTTTAGGTACTTATTTCTGATATAACAAGGCCCTGTATCCTCAAGCGATTATTTCAACTGATGCTCAATTGAAAATAAACATATAAACAGCAATCTGCTCATCTCTGGTGTCAGGGAAGAGGACTGTTTTGGACAGCTAATATGTCACTTATCAGCATATTGTGTAAAGATGATCCCTTACTGAGAACTTAAGATTCATGAAGGTAATTCTGGCAGTACTAAATTCTAGCCTTTTATGTAGTCTTTAAAATTAAGTTCCTACAAAAGCAGAGTCTGCTGTTTTTATCCTGCAGAATGGCTGTATCGGTCAGGGTTCTCCAGGGAAATAGAACCAATAGTATATATGTGTACACATACACACACACACACACACAAACACACACATGTATGCATGCATATACTTTAAAAGATTGATTTTAAGAAGTCCTTTTAAATTCATTAATTTTAGGAGATTGATTTTAGGGAATTGGCTCATATGATT